CGCAAAGCCGTGGAGGTGACTGGTATCGTGTGAGCTGGGGGCGCTTAGCACACGTCCTAGCATGCCGGGGCCAAGCGTTGGCAGAGAAGCCGAGGAGCACACGGGCCACAGAGAGGGGATGCCGCCCTGCGGCAGATCCCGGACTTGAGGGGTATCATGGGGAAATAGATGCTGTTGCCCAGGCTGAGCACGATCTCAGGGCTTCTGGCATTGGGGTTGTAGCCCGCGGCATGTTTGCCTGCACACCCAGGAGGAAAGGGCCAGCGCGCGTCTCCTCCCAATGATACAGAGCCCTGCAGACACCAGCATTCGGCTTATAACCGATTCCCAGCCACCGATGCCCTGCAATTGCAGTTGCCTCTGCTTCTGTCCCAGAGGTGTCCAAGAGGGAGGAGGTGGAAGCGGTGACGATCGTGGAGACCCCCCCGCTGGTCGTGGTGGGGCTGGTGGGCTACATCCACACGCCCCGTGGGCTCAGGAACTTCAAGACCATTTTCTCCGAGCACATCAGCGACGAGTGCCGGCGGCGCTTCTACAAGAACTGGTGAGAGCGCCACGGGGACGCGGGCCGTCGTCTGGCTGGCATGCTCGACCTGCCCGCGGAGACCCCCAAGGCTCCCCGTGATGGACAGACTTGGGGCTTGGACCCCCAGCAGCTTGGCACAGCGGGGGTCTGAGTGTTATCCGGGGGTCTGAATGTTGGGCGGATCGTCCGTGTGGGCAGGCTTCCCGTGCACCTGCGTTTGCAGGAGCCTGCGCCTCGTTACAGCAACCAAGCGCCATTGCAATGCTCCCGTCCTCAGGCACAAGAGCAAGAAGAAGGCCTTCACCAAGTACTGCAAGAAATGGCAGAGCGAGGATGGGAAGAAGCAGCTGGAGAAGGACTTTGCTGCCATGAAGAAGTACTGCAAGGTCATTCGGGTCATCGTACACACGCAGGTGAGACTGGGGCGATGCCTGCAGCCGAGCGGGGCAGGAGCAGGGGAGCACGGGGTGCCCCTTG